ATGGGTTTCTGTGGCAGAATCGGACGGGTCATTCGGAGTAATAATATCTTTACCTTCTCCTTTCCCCTAGGAACTGATATTTCAGGGCTGTTAATGATAAGGATAATGATACTCTGTGTATTTATCTTAGATTATGTGGTCGTTATAAGATTAATAACCTGGGGCGGCGAGTCAAACAGAGACAAGCCCGGGCAGTGTCTGTCAGAGCGCTTGTGTTGGGAGTGCAGTGCATTCCAGCCCGGTGTGTGGAGAGAAAAGCACTGGATCTGGATTCTGATGAAAGCGTCTTGGGCGTGTGTGTTCGTTTTGTCAGATAATGAGCCGGGGGGCTCAGGGGCACAGGCGTTTGGCGCTCGCTTCGTTTCCTGCAAAAATAACTTCTTCTGCTCTCCCTCTCGCCCCCCCTTCGTCCTTCTCTAAGTCCTCTGATGAAACGCAGAGCCGAGGGGTTCGTCGCAGACAGACGTTTCGTCTCTCCGTCAGGCTGGCAGTGGCTGTCTTGTACTCGTTGGAGGAAGCTGCCTCACTAAGTGCCTGATGGGAATGTGTGGTCTGAGCAAATATTCCACAGTTAGGATCATTTTTAAGCAAGTCATCCAACTGCAGATTGATTCCCACTGAATAAACACTGTGATTCTAGAGCTTTTTTTGAGCATCATGATAAAATGTCTTGTAGCTATTATGCTTAAAAATAGTCATTTTTTTAATTAGCTTATTTTTTTAGTTTGATTTAAAAAAGATTTTTAAATTTTTGTTATTTTGTTAGTTTTTTTGTATTTCTATTTAGCTTTATTTTTATTTAACTTCTAGTTTTAGTCATTTTAGTACTTAAGCTACAGCTTCAGTGAGTTGGCAAGGCAGTATTTTTATTTCTAATTCTTTAAATGTAAGTATATTTCTAATAAACTTAAGTTTTTGTAATTTTTATGTGCTTTTTATATTTCTTTTTAGTTTTAATTTATTTTTATGTCAGTTCTAGTTTTACTTCAACTAAAGCTTATTTTAGTTACCAAGGCAACATTTTTAATTCTAATTTAAAATGCTAGTATTTTTTTTATCTTTTATAATTAAGTTTTTAAATACTTCTATTTAACTTTATTTTTTATTTCAGTTCTAGTTTAATAATTGTAGTACTTTAAAGGAACACTCCACTATTTTTGAAAATAGGCTCATTTTAAACAGTTGAGTTTTACTGTTTTCAAATCCATTCAGCCGATCTCCGGGTCTGGCAGTAGCACTTTTAGCTTAGCTTAGCATAGATCATTGAATCTGATTAGACCGTTAGCATCTCGCTCAAAAATGACCAAAGAGTTTCTATATTTTTCTGCCTATACTTTGCTGCCGTACCATGGGTGATATTACAATGATATTACGCAGCGCCTGAAAATAGTCCCAGCTAGGTAACTTCCAATAAGCCTATTTTCAGGCGCTGCGTAATATCATTGTAATATCACCCATGGTACGGCAGCAAAGTTCCTTGATTATTACACCGGAATGAGAGCATAGTTCCTAGCTATATCGGCCTACAAAATCGCAACTTTTTATTTTCTGTTGGTCTTAGTACACGATGTAACTACAGAAGAGTCAAGTTTTAAATAGGAAAAATATAGAAACTCTTTGGTCATTTTTGAGCGAGATGCTAACGGTCCAATCAGATTCAATGATCTATGCTAAGCTAAGCTAAAAGTGCTCGGCTGAATGGATTCAAAAACGGTAAAACTCGATTGTTTAACTCTAGGGGAGTTGGAACATGAGTGGAGTGTTCCTTTAACTAAAGCTTATTTATTTCAGTTAGTTACCAAGGCAACAATTTTATTTCTAATTTTAAAATGTAAGTTTAGTTCTAATAAATTTAAGTTTTAATAATTTTGTTGTGCATTTGTTATTTTTTTAATACTTCTATTTAGCTTTATTTTTTATTTCACTTCTAGTTTTAGTAATTTTAGTACTGCAACTAAAGCTTATTATTTCAGTTAGCTGCCAAGGAAAGAATTGTATTTCTAATTTTAAAATTTAGGTTTATTTCTAATAAACTTAAATTTAAGTAATTAACTAATTAATTAGTAATTAAAATATTTTTATTTAGCTTAAATTAATTTTTATTTTAGTTCTAGTTTTAGGATTTTTTGTACATCAACTACAGCTTATTTCATTTAGTCAACATTAGACAACATTTTTAATTCCAATTAAAAAAATTAAGTTAGTTTCAAATAATGTAAGTTTTATTTTAAGTATTTCATTTTATATTTATACATTTTTTTTATTAATATTTATATTTGATAAATATGTTAACCTTAAAACTTTAATACTTTTAGATTTCATTTTAGTTAACAGTAACAACGCTGGTGTATAATTGAAACCCTTCACATAAGCATCACAAACCAAAAAAAGAGGGCTTTCATTTCTGACCATAAATAAATGAAACATTAGAATGTTTTTTGCCTTAACTCATTTCATCAAGTGACGGATGAATCTGTGCTTCCCAAACAAAATAACTAAGTGAACAAGTGTTGAGTGGATTTATTTTACTATCATAACTACGAATGATTATATGGTTAGTTTTTATTTACATTTAGCATGTTTTTCCCTGCGTTCTGCGACTGAATCAGACCTGAGACCTGTTTTTAAGAACCTCTGCTCTAGATTTCTCTCTAGGCTAAACAAAATTTAGTCTAGAATTAACTAATCTTCACTCAGAAATTACTAGTAAATTTCACAAGTAATTACGAAGAAACTGCAAGTAACACATTGAATTAAATGTTAAAAATTAAAATAGAAAGAATGAAATAGTATTTTTTTTAAATTGTACTTGAATCACCTTTATCTAAAACTTTGAAAAATCTTGAAAAAAGCTGAAATTGGAATTTAATTTTTGTTATTTATTTCTAATACAAAATAAATTAAAATGATTTCTATTTATATTTCGATTCTAGTTTTAGTCATTTTAGTACTTCAACTAAAGCTTATTTCAGTTGCCAATGCAAAATTTTTTAATTGTACTTTTACAATTAAAGTTCTAAAAACACATACATAAAGTTTATGTATTTTGCTGTGTTTTTTATTTCTATTTAGCTTTAATTTATTTTCATTCCACTGCTGGTTTTAGTAATTTTAGTACTTCACCAAAACCTTATTTAATAAATTATAAATGAATAATAAAAAAATGATTAATAAGTAATAACTTCTAATTCTATTTCTAATAGACAAACATATTTTTTTGCTATGTGCTTTTGTTATTTTATTAAATATTTCTGAAAAGCTGCTCTGAAGCAATCGTCAGTGTGTTCTGTGAGATCATCTCTTGTTTTTCTCTCGGTTTTCTCTTTTTTTGATTGTGTCATTTTGATGTCTTCTTAATTGTGTTTTGATGGAAATGTCAGAGCACAAGTGATGTAGAAGCTTTGATACTTGTTCTAGCTGTTGAGTGAGACGACTCATGACAGCGTTATTTCATTAAGCCGAGTTGGTTGAAAAATTGTCGCAAAATGTAACTATATATTATTGTCCGGCTCTAATCTGCTAAATGCGACAATATGGCATGATGATATAAACAATGACATAATGATTTTCTGTAAAGCTGCTTTGAATTGATATGCATTGTGAAAAGTGCTTTAGAAATAAATTTGACTCGAAGTGTCTCACTTCAGCAGCAGCCCTTAAACCGGATGTTTCCAGTGATAATGAGTTACTGAATACAGTAAAGCTCAAATATGATCACTGTGTCATGACATGCGAGTGTCACTGCTGTCATTCGGTCTGTTGTTTGTCTCAGGATTTCATCATCCGCTCTCTGATGGATGTTTTCGTTCTGTTCCTCATGATGTCTAATTTAGAGCTCATAAATCACCAGCACACCAAGTGTGTTTTTCATAATGCAGTTTCAAACAAATCTGACGGCTTGTTGCTGAACTGATACACACATGACTCCTGTGGACTACAGCCAACCACACTCTAAACATAAAAAAAGTCTGTAGAAAAACAGATAAGATACTGTTCATTTTCTGCCACGACATTGCCTTTAACCCTAAAACACAATGCAATGCAGAAACCAGAATACATAGAAAACTCTTGTGAAATATAGCACATTGGGATGTATTTTTATTGACTTTTTTAGAGTGTACTGCTATGATGCTTTTATGGTGGATTCATGTGCATTTGTGAGAATGACTGTACATTTTAGTGTCATTTTGCTCATTACAGTCAGTATTGTGTGAGGTCAAAGGTCAAACTGTGTATGCACGCATGCATTCACTGACTGTGTTTGACAGATGCATGCACTGACACAGTCTGAAGAGTGTTTCTGTGAGGAATAATGCGCTGCATCACATGCAATTCATGACTTTCTTACTTAGTGTTTTTGTCTTGTATTCCAGTATAAAAATCTAAACATTCTGTAATCAAGATACTGGATTTATTGGAGAGGCAAAATGACTTAAGATATGAAGTCTTGTTTTCTGAAAAAAAAAAATAAAAATTAAGTGAGTTTTTACTTAAGACTAGAACAAATATCTGCCAGTGGGATTTGAAAAAGAAACGTTTTTTCTGAGCGAACTGGCAGATATTTGTTCTTGTTTTAAGCAAAAGCACACTTAAAGGAATAGGTCACGCACAAATGAAAATGTGTTCACCCTCAGTTCATCCGGGATCAGGATGAGTTTGTCTCTTCATCAGATTTGGAGAAATGCAGCATTGCATCTCTGACGGCACCCATTCACTGCAGAGCATCCATTGCTGAGGCACTGATGCAGTGCTACATTTCTACAAACCTGATGAAGAAACAAACTCATCCCGATCTCGGATGAACTGAGGGTGAACACATTTTTGGTTGAACTATTCCTTTGATTTTGACACATCTATCTTACTATCGTAAGTCATTTTGCTTCTCCAGTAAACGTGTCTTGATTTAGGAATGTTTATGTTTGTACTGGAAAACAAGACGTAAATACTGAGGAAGAGCACTGTTTTTCACTCGATTCCCACAGTTCATGCTCTCGTTTCAGAGCTCCTCAGGTGGAAGACAACAACAGCATCAACATGGGCCAGAACGGAGGACGGAAACGATCACACCTCATGCCTCTTCTGCTGGTAAGTCCCTCATCCAGCCCATCCAAACACGGGCCACGTCGACTACAAAGGCGTCTTTGAGCGCATGTTAATCTGTCTCTGAACACGTCTCCCACCTCCTTCGTGTTTGCAACACCAAATCTGTCTGGCTGCGTTCCCAGAAGGTAATTTCTCTACACAGCGTCTTAATGATAGGCTTTTAATGCCCTTCCAAAGAGCCGTGAGATGTTCAAACGACAGGTTATCTGCGAGTGAGACGCTCTGGAGAGCAGATCTGTGTAATACCGCTTATTACGGCTAAATCAGCCCTCAGTGTCAATTCAGCCTTTGTTGAAGAGAAAACTGCTGCCGCTCCATAATGAGCATTATTCTCTATATATAGAGCCAGGAAAAAAGGCTGCAAATGTGCTGCTTCACTGCACCGTAATGTCACGTCTAATGATCTAGAACCAACTCAAGTCAACGTTAGACACAATCAGACAAATGTTTACTGGTGCATGCAGTGCGCTTCATAATCTAACTTGCAGAAGTGAAGCATCTTGAAAAGAAATTCTGCCGATTTGCAAAAAAACGCCTAATATTACCTAGTGTAATTTGATGATTTTGAGTTAAAAATATCACTAAAAACATCCCATTATGTAGGTTTAATCACAAAATAAGTAGGTATATGTAGTTATTATGCGTATGTATCAGCATTAATGCACTTAGAACAAAAGAGGTCAAATGTCAAAAACTTCACTTTTAAATTTTTTTTTTACTATTTTTCCAAAGGAGTGGAAAATATATATTAAAATAGTTTATTTAATGCCAAAGGACTTTACATAAACACAAGTTTGGATGTAGTCAAATCAATGTTATTTTAGTGTCATATTGAGATACTGTTATGGTTTTATTAATATTTTGAATACATTTTTAGTTTAACATTTTCTGTTTCATTTTCCTTTCAGTTAAGGTTTTAGTACTTTTGTCATTGATATTAGTTTTTGTTTTCTTTAAATATGTCCATATAGTTTTTATTCATTATTATTTTGGTTTTAGTTATTTTAGTAAATCAAGTTAAACAAAATGATTTTTATTTTCATTAAAATGTACTTTTTCAAGTGACATGTTTTTATGGTTTTAGTTTTAGTTAACTATAATAAACATCTGGCTCATGTTTGCATTTTCTTTCTAATTCTGCTGATTTGCAACAAAAAAATAAAAATATTACCCAATTCTGTGTTCAAAAATATCAATGAAAAAAAAAATGTCCATCAAATATTTTTCACAAAATAAGAATTTTTCTAATTATATGTATGTATCATAAATCATATTGTGCATATCATATATCACAAATGCTTAATTTAACTATAAATCCTCAAAGGAGTGGAAAAATATCTTAAAATACAAATTTAATGTCAAAGAACTTCACAAAATAAGCTTTTTTTTTTTTTTGACGAAAGTGTGAAGTGAAGCAGCAAAGCAGGCACTATTATTTGGAATCAGCAGCTCGAAATGAGTCAAAAGGTTTGATTCAGCACATGATGCATGGTTTTCTGTTGCATTACAGTGCATTTGTAATTGTGTCTGCGACTGAGAACAGATGCATGATTCGGATCTGTTGTGATCTAATTACAATCACACAAGCGTATTGTGCTTCCAAACCAAACTCACAGTCATCATGTCTCTCTCCACATTCATTTCCTCAGACATAATGTTCACTGCATGAATCGAGGTGAAACAACATGCACACAGGCATTTCAGCTCTCCGCCGGTTCTTTACTCAAGCAGGAATGTAATTAAGCGTGTGGGCGGAGCCGGATGTTGATTGGCTCGGGCTGAATGAGATGCTTCGTGGTTCTCAGCTTTAATCCTTTAATTGAACCTACACTCAACCGTTTCCTTATTACATCAGCACCTTCACACTTTCACTTTATATTAGTCCTTCTCTTCTGGGAAGATGGATGGAAAATATTTCTTTCTGCTGTTTGTTTGTTTGTTTAAAACACTGATGTAAGTTTATAGGTGAACCTGGAAGGACAAAGTTTTCCTCTTTGTTTTAAGAACATTGGATTTGTAAAATAAGGCCTGTAGTTAAAATCACTAGAAGAGACTTTTGTGTTTTGTTCTACAACATAAATTGCACATGTTTTAAACAAATAAGTTGCTGTGAATGCACTTGAACAGTCATGCATATACTTAAAACCTTTATAGATAATGCGCTATAAAAGTATTTTAATGCATTAATTATATGCACATTATAAAGCATTGTATGATATCATGAATAATTGTAACCACAGTTATAAAGCATTATAATATTTATCCGTTCATTGAACACTGTTGCTGTTCAGAAAGTATAATGCATTAAAACACAAGATAAACAACCGTTTTCAGATGCAACAAAAAAATCTGCAAATATGCAAATGTTATAATCTATTTAACCTTGGTTACAATTGTTTATTAAAAGATATAAGATACAATGCATTATAATTATAATGTACATTATGAACACCTAATGAACACTATAGAGCATTATATATATATATATATATAAAAAATCATGACTTTCTGTATGCCACAGAATACAGAAACATGTGTAAATGCAGATCTCATTTAATTGGACCTGGATGATTTCCTTCAAATTGATAGTTTTGTGTCTTTAGTTCTTGTCTGTTAGCTTTGATCTCATTGATACACAAGTGTACTTATATAAGCAGACAACATGAACTTGAAAAAGCTGAAGTAACAAGTTGCTATACATAAAGATAACAGCTGCCACAAATGTGAGTTTGTGTTTGTATTTTAAAATGTGTGTGTTGCAGGTGTCCAGCATGTGTTTTGTGAGTGCCGAATACTTGAGTTGTGGAGAAAATGAATTTTACAATTACACAATCACACTCTCTCTCACACACACACACACACTCTCTCTCTCACACACACAGTTCCAGTTTTAAAGGGACAGTTCACCCTAAAAATCATCATTCTGTCATTATTGGCTCACCCTCATGCTGTTTCACATCCATATGATGTTGATTATCACAAAAGGAGGGTTTTTGAAGAATCTTCATGCAGCTCTTCTCCATATAACAGAAGTTCACAACACGACTGTCAAACTCTAAAAGAGACAGAGCAATCACAACACATTTTTTGCAGTTAAAACCTGAGATGCAGGGCCTCTTCAGTCACTTTTGATCAAAACATTTAGAATTTTTAAAAACCGTAGCTTCATCAGAATACGACGACTTTTGGAGACTTTTGTTGCATTAGCTATGTGAAAACACAAAACAAAACCTTGGGCATGTTAAAAGGTTGAAAAAATAAGTAACACTTGGTACCTTCACAGTCAGAAATGACAGTGGAAACAAAAATAGCTCATAAAAATGTTACAAATATTGCATAGTATCATAAAATCCCCTCACATTTCTAAATAATAATCAATAATATTATTGAATAAAAATACATTACGTTGATTTTCCTGAAAAAAAAAAAAGTTACATTTCAAGGCTTTGCTCACTTTTGACCGCAAAAGTATCAAGTGTGACCCAGGCTTATTAAAAGTTTAACTTCTTTTAACTTGAGCACCATGTTACAATACTTTACTGGAGCTGCTTTTGAAACAGTTTGTACTGTATGATGCGCCATAGAAAAAAGGTGACTGGATATGATGCTTTTTTTGTTGTTTTTGGAGTTTGACAGTCATGTTGTTCACTTCGAACTGTTGTTGTGTGGAGAAGAAGTGCATGTCAGTTCAGAAATTCAAAACGATCAGCATACGGGTTTGGAAGGGCATGAGAGAGTCAGTAATGACCGTGTTTTAACTGTGAGCGGCTCCTTTAAGAGCTGATGGTCTTTCTCTGGACCACCCAGACAGCAGCGGCATCAGATGACTTCAGAAGATCTGGAGACAGAGAGACAGGTCTAACAGAGACAGAGAGACTTTCTTTCACAGTTCTGTTGATCAGGTTTGTCTCAGATACAAACCTGAGCCGATCTGAGGAGGTTTCCACTGCTGAGTTCACTCTGAAGCTGCAAAAAATTATTTTCTTTGACAGTATTTTTGCCTTCCCTAGTGAAAAATGCATATACTCAAATGTATTTGAAATACATTTATTTTGTGTAAAGTATATTACAAATGCATTTTCATAATTATGTACTTAATAAAATGCCCTGCAATTGTACTTTTAGTGTACTAGACTGGTATACTTCAAGTCTGCTAAATTGGAACAACTATTTTTGTACTTAATGCGCTTTACTTGTGCAGAAGTAGTGCTTTAAATATTTTGAATTTGAAGACCGATATTATTCAAAGAGCATACAATCCTCATCAAAAGTGACATTAAAACACATTTTAGACTTAATATTAAGAAATGTGCATTGTGCACATCTAGTATGCCAAATAAAGTTTAATTATAATTTTTATATCAGTAAGTCTTGAGTTATCTCTCAGTAAATATGTTAATAGATTTGAACTATACTTAGTATGAAATAAATGTATTTTAAATATATTAGGGTTCTTTTCCAATACAAATATCTAGACATTCTCGAAAATCAAGATACGTTTACTTGGAGCAAAATAACAAAATATTAACATTTTGTTCGTTTTTGCTTAAAACAAGAACACATCTGTCAATGAGGTCAGAAAAATGATCTTGTTTTCCCTTTGACTTCAGATTATTTTTCTGACCCCACTGGAAGATCTTTTTTCTTGTTTTAAGCAAAAACTAACAATATTTTAATCAAATTTTCAGAAAACAAGACTTAATATCTTAAGTCATTTTGCTTCTCAAGTTAATTTATCTTAATTCAAGAATGTTTAAATATTTGTGCTAGAAAATAAGACAAAAATACAAAGTAAGAAAATTTTTATTTTAAATATTTATATTATTAACATTAGTTTTGTCACTCGTATTGAAAGACTGAGGATTATTATAGTTAACAAAAACCAAAACCAGAGCTAAAACAGTATTTCAGAAACAAATACTCAAATTACACTGCAAAAAAGTTTTCCAATACGAAGATCCAAACATTCTTAAATCAAGACATTTGCTGGAGAAGCAAAACTACTTAAAGGGGTCATATGATGCGATTTCAAGTTTTCCTTTCTCTTTGGAGTGTTACAAGCTGATTGTGAATAGATAAGATCCCTGAAGTTGCAAAGACTAAAGTCTCAAAACCAAAGAGATATTCTTTATCAAAGTTAAGAGTCAGCCACACCTACCTAAAACGGCTCGTTCTAACACGCCCCCACATATCTACCTCACTATGTGGAAATATTAGCATAATGCCGCCCAAATGTGCACGCAAAGAAAGAAGGCGTGGTTTCAGTAACCACAGTTAGTGTTGAAGCAGCATGTCAGAGAGACACTTAGGTTTGGCCTTCCGAAAGTAGATGCATTTAGGAATCTTTAAGATTACTTACAACAGAACAGCAATGCATTTGATGGACGACCGTTTCGTGAACCTAGGAGAAGAGGTAATTCTGACTTTGCTATGACAATCCGGCGCTTCTGAATCAGCTACTGTTTTGTTATTAGTTT